TGTTACACTTAAACCCACGGCTGCTGCCACTGTGCCAATCCAGCTCATTGGGGTCTTCCTCTTTTTCACTGCCCCTCCACATTACAGTGCATAATGGCCTTCTCCAGGGACTGGTCCCTCCGACAACATGTCCTAAATTTAAGAAACGAATTCTCGCCATTCTGGTTTCTAAGGAGCATTCTGGCTGTACTTCTTCCAAGAGAGATTTGATTGTTCTCCTGGCAGTCCACTGTATTTTAATGTTGTTTCTCAACACCACAACACAAATGCTTTAATTCTTTTATGGTCTTTCTTAGTCACAGTCCAACTTTCACATGCAGATGAGGCTACTGAGAATATCATGGCTTGGGTACGGCACACCTTAGTTCTCAAACTGGCATCTTTGCTCTTGAATGCTATAAAGAGGTCTTGAGGCACAGATTTGCCTAATGTAATATGTCCTGACTTTTTGACCACTGTTTTCTATTAAGTGCTGATAGAGGGTCTTCCTTTTCTTCACTAACCATCCATTTTACCAAGCATTATGTCCTTCTCTAGGGACTGGTCCCTTTTGATAATATGTCCAAAGGATGAAACACGAAGTCTGGCGGTTCCCTGTCAATGTATTGTTGTAGCTGTTTTTAAATTACCTTTAGCAAAATTTTACTTGCATGTGATATTAATGATACTTGTCTGATTATTTCTGCATTCCGTTAGGCCAATTTACTTTGGAATGGTCACAAATATGGATCTCTTAAAATCAGTTGGCTAGGTAGCTGTCTTGTAAGTTTCTTGGCATAGATGAGTGAGTACCTCCAGTGCTGCATCCATTTGTTTCAAAGATTTCTATATGCAATCAATCAATTTCCAGAGCCATATTTTTTGACAATGTCTTCAGTGCACCCTGGACTTCTTCCTTTAGTACCACTGGCTCTTGATCATATGTTACCTCTTGAAATGTTTGAACAATGACTATTTCCTTTTGGTAGAGTGATTCTGTATACCTTCCATCTTCTTTTGATGCTTTCTGCATCATTCAGTATTTTGTCCAATGAAACTTTCAATAGTGCCATCAGAGGCTTGAATGTTTTCTTCAGTTATTTCGGATTGTCCCTCCCATTTGATTTTCTAACTCCAAGTCTTTGCACATTCATTAAAATACTTTACTTTGTCTTTTTGAACTGACCTGTTAATATTTTATTCAGCTCTTTCACTCTCTCATTTCTTCTGACATCCATTTTGATCTTTTATTTCTTTCTTTGTCTTCTTAATGACCTTTTGCTTTCTTTCTGTACGATGTTCTTGGTATCATCCCACATAAAAATATGGCATTTGGTTATTAGAGTCTAATGTATCAAATCTGTTCTTGACATGGTCTCGAAATTTAGCTGTAGTATGTTCAAGGTCATATTTTGGCTCTCATGGACTTCTTTTAATTTTCTTCAGCTTTAGTCTGAACCTGTATGTGAGCAACTGATGGTCTGTTCAACTGTCGGCCTGTGGCCTTGTTTTGGCTGATGATATGGAGCTTTTCAACTGTCTCTTTCCACAGATGTGTTCAGTTTGATTTCTGTGTGCTCCATCTGGTGGGGTCCGTGTATATAGGTATCCTTTATGTTAGTTTTAAATGGTATTTGCAATGAATAAATCACTCGTTTTACAAAATTCTATCATGCAATCTCCAGCACAATTTCTATCGTTAATGTTGTGTTTTCCTTCAACTACACTGATCCTTCCTCTTTGTTTCCAATGTTCACATTTCAATCACTATTAAATATCAATACCAATCTAACTGCATTTTTGATGAATTTCAGACTGAAGACGTTGGCAGAATTGTTTAATCTCATTATTGGCTTTGGTGGTTGGTGCATAAATTTGAACAGCAGTATTAACTGGTCTTCCTTATAGGTGCATTATCCTATCACAGACAGCACTGTACTTCTAGACAGATTTTGAAGTGTTTTTATGATGAATGCTACACCATTCCTCTTCAACTTGACATTTATGACATACGATTGTCAGATTAAAAATGGTGAATACCAATTTGTTTACACAGCTCACTAAAGCGCTAGACCACAAAATCAGTTTGAACAGCAAGGTCGGTGGTTCAAACTCACCAGTTGCTCCTCTGAAACACTATACAGAGCTACTATGAGTTAGGAATGACTCCACGGAACTTAACAATTATAACATAATCCTACTCTGGTGAATGTTGATTAGGGTCCTAAAAGTTTGTGAGCAGCCATCTAAGGTGTAATTATTGGTGCATCCCTGTACAGATAAAGAAAAATAAAGACAAGCAAAGATAATGGAAACACTTAGTAAAAGCCGAGACTGTAAATTCCAATAAGCCAAGTCCCCCCCCATCCAAAAAAAAGCTAAAGAGGATAGAGAGAAACACTGTAAACTGATGATATATAGCGGGGATAATAATCAATGTAATGAAACAAGCTATATGAATGGTTGAATGTGAAACTGATGATGTGCCCTGTAAACTTTCACTCAATGCAAAATAAAAACATTTAATTAAAAAAAAAAAAAAAAAGATTAATGAGCCTCCAGGAACCTGACATCAGAGAACTAGATGGTTCACAGCTCCCACTAACAACTTCTCTGAAAGGGATCACATTAGAAGATCTTGGAAAGAGTAGGAGAAAAATGTGAAATAAAATTCAAAATCATAAAGAAGACCAGGCTTACTAGTGGGAGAGGGACTGGTGGAGGACCCCCAAAACTATGGCCTTCAGTCACCCTTCAGTTCTGGAACTGAATTCTCCCCTGCTGCTCAATTCTCAGCCAAGCAAACGGCAGGTCTATTGGGTTAAAAAGCACTGGAGGAGTATGCACTCCTTAGAACATTCACCCATTAGTGATCAAAAGGGCACCATCTACCCAAGGACAATGTTCATAAATAAAGGAAGGGTAAGATAGAATGAGGAATCAAAGTGGGAACCACAGGGTGCAAGTGGGGTGAGTGATGATATTACATTGAAGGGACTGCAATTAATGACAGGAAACAAAATATGTTTGGATTTTGGAGTGGAAAACTGATTTGATCTGTAAATCACCACCCAATCCACAAACAAAGTTTAAAAAAATATGTCCATACTGGATGCAAATTATTATTAAAGTTATAAAAGGTAATAACTAAAGGCTAATTATTTAGCACCCTCAAAACATCAAAGAAAAATCAGAACAATCAATAAACAATAAATTAGAACTAGACATCCAGTGTTTATCTTCTTAGTAATCTTTGATGATTTTATAGTATTAGCCACATTTACCAGATCATTCTATAGCACCTATTTAAGTTTTATACTTCTAACACATGCTAATGGAATCACTTCCATAAACACATGCAATGAAAGATTTATTTTCCATTCTACTGGTGTTCATAAAACATAAGAAAATCATTTTTCAAAACAGGTAATAGGTCTACAACAAAACATGGCAAGATTTAAATTTGATTAAATCAGAAAACAGAGGTGTTTGTCAAGAAGTATACCATGAGATAGCTGATGATCACCTCAGCTGGGAACACCCCAGATGCCACACTGCCACATTCAACAGCAATTCTATAACATAAACATATTCCATGTTGCCACATTAAATAGCAATTTTCAGCAATTAAAACTCTGAAAGAATTACTAGTAGTGCCTTAGCAAAAACTACTTTTCTAACTAAAAAAAAAAAAAAGAATATTCACTTTCAATTAATTAATTCAATTAAATTGGCTTCTGTCTAGAAGGACTCTCACTTGTAAGAAAACAAAATGCAGATTGTCTTTCTTTACAAATATATGAATACAAAAATGTTTCAAGAGTTTGGATAATTCTTCTGAAATTTTGCACCTACCAGCCCCTCCTTCTCCTTCATCTCTCTTTGACAATCATCTTCCTCTCAGAATTTCAAAAAGTATAAAAATTTGACAATGCTTTTTGACGAGCACTAGTGTGACAATTATTGTTTCAAAAGACTCTTTGGGCAACGTTAGGATTAGATATATAAAATGCATTCTAGTATGTCAAAAGGACTTCATTTTTCTTTTGTTAACAGATTAAATGGGTATATATGTTTTTACACTGAGTACGGTGTTTTTAATTTACTCATCTTAATGGCCCATTGAATTTAGATGATTTAAAAATTACAAAATTAGATTAGGAAAGCTGCTTTCCTCAGTAAGGAATATGTTAAGATTCAATAATGATTCCTAATGCACTCTCTTCTTAAACTGTTGTTTTAGAAAATTAGCTTAAATACACTGTGCATTAGAATTTTATCATTGCAAACCAACATTAGAAAAGACTTCCATCAACTTAAAAACAAAAAAGACATTCTTATAAGTGGAAAATCAATCACCACTACCACTAAATGTCACAGCTGAACATCAGCAAGAAGCACTGATAATTGTTAGTTATACACTGCACACATGATGTATGTCCTCAGTCGAGAAGTAGGGGCCCAGTTTTTAGAAAACTGTACATATATTGATTTTACATTTATTTAATGTGGCCATTGTAAGACACTTTATTCTTCTGATAAACTATGATTGCTTATCAAAAGATTCTATAATTCAAGAGAAGCATTCATAACTTGTGTGTGAAAATGAAAATCACTGGCCCACAGAAATCATGCCCACAAAATCCAATTTTGTGGATTTATGGCAGGAAGGCATTAAAGTACTGTCTTGCAGGAACCGCAGACTAGTTACTGAAGTGTAAGTGGCAGAGCAGCAATGATTAAGGTGACACGTCCCCTTGCCACAGCTGTTAATCAGCTTAATACTAGTTACATTATTGACATTCTTGTAATTACTTTTCCTAAGGCACATTTGTGCAAAATATATCTTACTTTAATTATGAGTTATCGGAGGCAAGTCCAATACCCAAAAAGAATAATCAAGGTTTTCATAATGCAAGTATATAGTGAGCACAACGCTTTCCCCACCAACTGGACTTGTGTAAAATCAAAGCTATCAGCGTGAGTGTAGGACCTTAAAAGTAACGACGACGTGGCGATACCTTGCCATCCTCTGAACACACGCCCATGTGTTCTCCACTTTCATCCAGGCTAATCTGGTTTATCTTCACAGGGCTCTAAGAAAAGAAGGAAAAAAGACATGTAAACTTTAGGACAGGATATATCATCATTTAATTATCTTGGCTCTTTATAAGATTGAATTGATATATATTGTCTGTTAGCTTGCATTTTCAAAAGTCCAAGAAACACTTGTTTTTCACAGATGAAAACAGTATAAAATAGTGCTATAAACCCAGAAACCTAACATTTCTCCAAATAATCTATTTCAGGTACCTAAAGTACCAGCTGAAATACTATTTCTCACATATTCTAAACTTTGATCTGTTTTGTTCCATGTTCTCTATACTCCTAAAATTATTTCCAAATAAACTCCATTAAAAGGACAAAAAATAAATACCAAAATGAAAATCACTCTATAAATAGTTTCAGTTTTGCTCAAGGTCAATCTATTTGTTCTAGAAGTTACTGTGTAAATTATTTATACTTTATACTTAGTATTTTCTAGGGGGGGAAACACGTGGTTTAACTAAATCTAACTTTTTTTACTTACCCATTTTTTTAAGAACCCCAAAATTTAATATCTTTGAAGATACGAATCAGGCTTTCTACTTTGGACACATTTTCCAGAGTAAATACACAATTGTATTCTTAATGTTTTTACACAGCTTTCTTTTCTCTACGTAGCCAAATGTTTACTTACTAAAACATTCATATATGTGAATGTTCTAACAGACATCAAAATCAATTATGTTGACACATCATTAAAAAATGGCAAGCTCCTCATTTTTGCTAATTAAAAATAAAAAAATTAATAACAGCTTCCAACTTTTCTATACAAAGTATGGTCGGAACAAACTCACCATGAAAAAGAAAAGCCTACATATCAGTTCTTTAAAAAGAGCTTGCAAATAAGTTTTTTTTAAAATAGAAACTTAAAATGGTTTGACTGTTTAATAAAAATAAATGGAAATACATAAAACTCAATGTTGGATACTCAATTGGAAAGTATCTCAGAACTAACATTCCTGAAAAAGCAGCCCACGAAAAAGAAGCTATCACCTTAAAAGTTACCAGACTGTTAGAAGAAGAAAGGACCTTGAAGATATTTCTTTGATCCATTTAACAGAAGAATAAGCCAAAGCCCACAGACAAGAATCACAATAGGAAAAGAGCAGAGCAGAGACTTCAAGCTTGAGAGGAGTAAAAGTCAGTCCTGTAAAGGGAACACTATTGTGCTGGCCAACAAGAAATACGTAAAAAGAAACCAACGGTGAAGTGGTAAGTCAACTCGGCCAGAACGTCTGCATTCTGGGCTGAAAAGTCGGGATGCTTAGCTTCTACCTCTTCTTTGGATCCATTAAAAGTAAAAAGTTAAAATAATCTTGCCTAGATTGTGATTTATGACGAACGCATGTGCTATCGAGTAGAACTGCTCCATAGGCTTTTCTTTTTTGGCTGCAATCTTTACAGAACAGATCTCCAAGACTTTCTCTAAGTGCTGCTGAGAAGGTTTGAACTGCTAACCTTTTAGTTAGCTGCTATTGGTAAAACGCTGTCAAGTCATTTCCGACTCATAGGGTTTCCGTGGAGTGGATGGTGAATACAGTGACAAAAGAGGACTACAAAAATCCAGAGAGCAGAGGATGGTCGCAAACCCACTCCTTTCTCAGATGAACTCCTCTTAACAGTTACTTACTCTGATGTTTTGTTTACCAAGCCACACTTTAATACCCATTTTAGTGTTGGCAAATATAAATCCCACATACAAGTGCTCAACTACTAGCTGAAACGGTGGCTGTTCAAACCTACCTAGAGGCATCTTGGAAGATAAGCTTGGTGATCTCCTTCTGAAAGGTCAAAGCCTTGACAACCCTACTTTGTACAGGTAGGGGTGCCACGATTCAGAAATGACATGAGGGCAACTAACAACAACTTATCTCTGATTGTAATTGTCATCCCATCACAATCAGTCTCAAATTATAATGAGATAGACATGTGAAGCTTGATACACACCAAGGTTTCCTGAGCTTTGTACTTAGCCACTTAGGGCTATTTAAATAAAAACTTAAATACATAGTCAATGAAACACAGGCAAGCATTTTCTGGTATGCTGTGCTTCTATCCAAGATCCATAACATCCGCAATGGTGTCTCTTGTTCCATGTCCTTTTCTGAATCTGACTTGAACTTCTGGCAGTTTCCTGTGGATACAACTGTTGTTATTGTTGTTAGGTGACGTCAAATCGGTTCCAACACACAGCAGACCCTATGCACAACACAGGGACACGTATCATCCTTACAACTGTGATGTATGAGTCCACTGTGGCTGCCACTGTGTCAATCCATTTCGCTTGAGCTCTCTCTTCCTCTTTTTCGCTGACCCTCGACTCTATACCAAGAATTATGTCCTTCTCCAGGGATTGGTCCCTCCTGACAACGAGTTTAAAATACAAGAGACAAAGTTTTGCCATCTTTGCTTTTAAAGAACACTATAACTGTTCTTCTTCCAACAGAGATTTGTTTGTTCTTCTGACAGACTACATTATGTTCCCTATTCTTTGTCACGACCATAATTCAAATGCATCGATTCTTCTACCTTCTTCCTTATTCACTGTCCAACTTCCACATGCATGTGGCGATTGAAAATACCATGGCTTGAGTCAGGTACACCATAGTTGCTTTCATGTGACCTTACTATTGTTCAATAGTTTCTGCATTCTGTTGGATTACCTTTCTTTGGAATTGGCATAAATATGGATTTAAGCCAATTCATATTTATCTGTTAGTCAGCTAAATGTCTTCCAAAATTCTTGATATAGACAACTGAGTGCGTTCAATTCTGCATTTGATTGTGGACATATCTCAATTGATATTCCATCAACTCCTGGAACCCTTGTGTTTTTCATCAATATCTTTTTCAGTTCAGCTTGGATGAATGTTGACCAATTCATTTTGTTATAGTGACTCAATGCATTCCTTCTATCTTCTGATTTTGCCCAATATTTGCCCAGAGAAATCTTCAATATTTGCAACTCAAAGCTTAAACGTTTTCTTCTGTTCTTTCAGCTTCAGAAATGCTGAATATGATCTTCCCTTTTGGTTTGGAAGCTCCAGGTCTTTGTATATTTCATTATAATAATCTGTCTTACTGAGTCGCCCTTCAGATCTGTTAAGCTCTTTTACTTCATTATTTCTTCCATTTGTTTTAGATACTCTACATTCAAGAGCAAGTTTCAGAGTCTCTTCTAATATTCATTTTTGTTGTTTCTTTCTTTCCTATCTTTATCAAGACCTTTTGTTATCTTCATGTAGGATGTCCTTAATGTCACTGTTGTTCAATGCATTAAGTCTCATCTTGAGTTAGTCTCTAAATTCTGGTGGGATATATATTCAAGGTTGGACTTTGGTTCTAGTAGACTGGTTTCAATTTTTTTCCAGGCTTCCACTTTAAATTGAATGCAAGCAAATTTATGGTCTGCTGTTCTTCAGTTGGTCCCTGGGTTTGTTCTAACTGATGATACTGAGTTTCTCCATTGTCTGTTTCCAAGACAGAGCTGATTTGATTGTTGCGTACTTCATCCAGTGAGGTCCAAGTATCCACTGGCTGTTTCTGTTGTTGAAAAAAGGTATTTGCAATGAATAAGTTGTTGGTCTTACAAAATTCTATCATGGAATCTCCAGCACTGATTCTGTCACCATATTTTCTAACTGATGACCCTTCTTGTTTCCAACTTTATATTCCAATCACTAGTGATTATCAATGCATCTTAATTTTATGCTTTATTAATTTAAGACATTTCAGAACAATTCCTACACCTAAAAATAGCCAAAATCTAGTACCTAGAAAGGAGATAAAAAGTCAAAACAAAATACCCTGAGATTCTTTCATTAAGAATTAAATGAAGTCAATGTATGTCTACTCTCTAGCACATGAATCATTTCCTCTTCTCCCCAAAACCATCAAAGATGTTTCTTTTATGAAGAAACTGCTGTTTTTCTTATGTACAAAAAAAAAAAAACAAAACAAAAAACAACCCAAGCAGGAATACATAATTATTTTAACAACCAAAGGGTGGCGCATTCTGCAAGCCAGCCTCCTGGCTGCCAGCACACAGCCTTTCTCTTTCCAAGAGTCTAAGGTCCTCAGCTGCTCTATCTCTCCATGCCATCACCTCTGCCTCTTATCTCTGGTGTCACTGCTTCTCTGGTTAGAGTCTCTTATGTTCCGCTCATGCTCTTCTCCCTTGATGGTCCAGGGTCCTCTGCTCCTGGAATGTAAGATTAACTACTCCCCCATTTTTGTTATACAAATTCTACCTTTACAGTTGTGACAATCACAATTAGGTATGATAACAATTACTCACTACTGAATCAAATGAATCCTATCCCCCATCTCTTTTCACCAGACCCATCTGTTGTTGTTGTCGTTGTTAAGTGCCGTCGAGTTGGTTTTGACCCTTAGCGACCCTGAACAGGGTTTCCGAGGCTGTAAATCTTTACGGGAGCAGATCGCCTCATCTTTCTCCCGCAGCGCAGCTGGTAGTTTCGAACTGCTGACCTTGCAGTTCGCAACCCGATTCGTAACCTCTACACTACCAGAGCTCCTTTAGCCACATAGGGCTATTTAAGTTAAAACTTAAATACATAGTCAATGAAACACAGGCAAGCATTTCCTGGTATAATGTGTTTCTATCCAAGATCCCATCTAGACAAGAGGAAAACTATTCAGAGGGGATTCTGAAACTACACTCCTTCTTGACATAGATGACAGGGCAATATACAATCGGAGGGAGGTTGGCAGAGGATAAATGGGGTACTGGGAGACACATGGAGGAATGCAGTGGTTTAAGTGAATAGAAGTAAATACTGTTAACTGTTGGTGCACGGAGGGAATTGCAACCATGTAATGAAGCTAAGGCTATGATTTGTGGAATGTAAAACTGATGATCTGCTCTGTAAACCTTCACTTAATTCACATTTAAAAAAAAAAAGAATTAAGCGATAGTATGTTATCCTTTTATTTTGCTGGAAAATATTTTATAGTTTCTGGATATCAG